CACTCCTCGGGAGTCGACAGTTAGCGATCAAGGTATCAGAGTTCTGATCAGGATGAACCGCATAGGCATGTATGAGATTTTTTGCCAACAACCATCCCTACGTATATAAACCTAAAATTCATGAGACCGTTCGCCGCTATCAAAACTTGCCTTTTGTAAGACCGACGCTCGATTCTCCATTACTAACCAATAGAGTGCTCTTTAAACTGTTCCCCATTAATATGCTTTTTTCCCATCAGCGATGAACAAATGCGCATGTATACGATCCCACAGCAGCTGGAGAGCTCTCGCCAAGGTTGAAGGCAAATATTTCAGACGACATTGCGGATAAGCACCTGTGAACCCCACCTATTTGGTCCTATTAGACAGGAACAAGATATGCTTGTTCCTGTCTAGTTCGATCAAAGATGGCTTTTGTAACGCTCTGGGCAATAACTACCAGTAGTGCGTAGGGACTTTATAATAAATTCTTACCTGTGCTCACCGGCAACCATGAATACCAGTCACCGGTGTTTGGCACTTGGCGGCATTGCGCTCCTGCCCATAAAGGGTTCGATGCCATCACGAAGAACCCTTACTCACCGTTGTTGATGGCAACGCGTCGAGCTCGTCGTGCGCAATGCCGACAACGTGTATCCCCCCCAATAATCATCTGTTCCCCTCGCTTTCTTTTGCATTACATAGGTATTATTAGGTAGATAGTAATGCATATGTTTTACTTAGTCCTCCTGGCTACGGGGGCCGTCACCACTCATATCAAGTACACTAAAGCAGGCACCAAGAACCTCAATCTCCTCATCCTCACCAGCCTGCTCCTCATCCAGCTCCTCTTCTAAATCCACTTCATGACTGGGGGTGGTACCTGTAGGGGGAAGGGCCGGGGTCTGAGGCTCCCCTGTTGCATCTGGCTCCTCTGATGTGGTAGAAGCCTCTGCAACATGAGTGCCAAATCCAATGGGACCAGTATAACCATCCAGGAGATAGATCTTCTCCAAGATCTTCAGGTGGTGAGCATTGAAACGGCCCCGTTCCATCCGATGAAGTTTGAGCTGAAGAGCGAGGGCAGGACGAGAGAGCAAGAGCTCGGCTTCTTTTCCTCGAAGGAGAATGTCTTCGTCATGAATATAGGTTGCAAGGCGGGGAACTTCGATGTTCAGCCGCGCAATCTCTTCCTGCGCACGTTCGAGTTTGAACGCCCGGTCAATTGCAAGGCGAGCGGCGGGTGTCGCCCAAGGTTTCCTTCGAATATCTTGACGGGCATCACGGAGGAGATCGAAGTCCGAGAGGAAGGCGTACTCAACGACCTGATCCCAGTTGAGTACCTGTCGAGGTGGCACTAGAGCCAACGCCGCTGTATTGTACCTGTCGAGGGCGGTGCGAATGGCGACAGATCGGGCCTTGAGCGCGTTGGCAATGTGTTTACGAAGGCTATAGCCTATCATGTTGCCGTCAGCTGCAGTCATTTCCGAGAAGACAACGTCTTACCTGTCTGGGACCGGTTCATCTTTGTGAGTTCAAACATGCGTGCGACCACGAGCCCTTCCAGGACATCGATGCAACGTTGGTATGTCCGCATCATAACCTTCTCTCCTGCTGCCTGCCACTCAAACGAACCCCGCTCCCATCGCCGTGCAATGTTGAGCTTCTTCTCTAGTACCTGGACGGCGGTGAGATCGCGCTTTTGGGTTTCGAGCGCATGGCGGCGGGCTGTTTCATTGGAGGCAGTCATGTCGTGTTCGCCGACATTCGCCTCCGTAAGGTTGGACCAGGCCAAGACAGCCGCTGCAAGTGTACGTCTGTAGATCATAAGTAACAATACAGATCAATAAAGTTTAGACTTACTCGCTGGCGTTGAAATTGAGGAGTAACTTGTAATACTCCATCTCCAGTGTCTCCTCCAGGGGTTCCTTCGAGAGCCCCCTCAGGTATTCCTCCTCCTCTTTCAACCACTCTTTCACCATGACCATGTCCCGTGCACCCACTTTCACCAGTGCGCTGTCAACTGCCGATCTCGTGTCCAGTATCTCGAGTGCTTGTTTATAGTTGTTGAGAAGGAAGGTGCCTAGTGGACAATGATCAGTAATGTCACAGTATGAGGGGCGGCACACGTACTGAGGTTTTGGTAAGTCTCAAAGGTGTCCTTGTGTTTCGTGTACTCCACAATGGCTTGACGGCGGTGGAAGATGCTTGAATATCGGGTCGAGCTTGCGAGGGCGTTTGACAGCGAGAAGAAGCGCTCGCAACCCTCTAAATCCTCCAATCCGAGTCCCTCGACATACGTTGCTAGTAAACATAGCTGGCAGAGGCGGTTGTGGGCGTGGCCATGGAATGCACCGACCAGGCAGGTGTGGTTTGCGGCGCGTGCTTTCGGTCCCAGCGAGCTCTTGTTTATTG